TCATACAACTTTTTCATTTCATTTCAATTTCAGTTATTTTTTCAGTTTCTAGTACTTTTTTTGCGTTTTTTCCAGTGTCAATTTCTTATAATAATACATCTAATATTTTTTGTTTAAATATATATTTTTTTTATAAAATAATTAACAAACAAGCTCGATTTTTTTCAACAACTAACTACACACTTAAAATTTTAAACTTAATTTAAACTTTTAATTAATTCTTATTTTTCACAATTTGTGTAAATTGTTTGTGTGGGAGTGTGGGTGTGTTTTGTTAATTCATGTCAAGCATTATAGTAAAAAATTGTTGTTGTTTGTAGGAAATGTCGCAGGAAGTTGAAGAAGTTTTTAGGAGAAAAATCAGAAATATAATTAAATTTTAACAAATTTCGAACATTTAATATTCCGCTTTTTTAAGATTTTTTTTAATTAAGAATATTTTTTGCACAAGTTAATAAACATTCTCTTTCAAAGCTTTCTATAGCTCTTAAACAGAATGTTTTTTTATAGAAAATTGTTTATACAAACAGTTTTCTGTAAAAAGCTTCTATGCACAAAGCTTTTTATAGAAGAGATCTGTTATAAATAAAGCTTACTATATAAACATTTTGTTATAAAGAAAGCTTTCTTCAGAAGAAATGATTATACTGAAAGCTTTCTGTTAAAAGTCGGATATACAGAAAGTTATCAATAAAGAAACAACAGAAAACTTTTTGTAATAGAACTATTTCTGAAAGCTTTTCATCAAGACAATTTTCTACAAGAAAACAAAAAGCTTTCTATAGAAAAACTCTTAAACAGAATGCTTTCTATAGAAAATGTTTTATACAAAAAGTATTCTATAAAAAACTTCTATGTACAAAGCTTTCTATAGAAGAGATCTTAATAAAGCTTAAAGAGAGTTATAAATAAAGCTTAATATGTATGTATAAGCATTTTGTTATAAAGAAAACTTTCTTTAGAAGAAATGATTATACTGAAAGATTTCTATAAAAATCAAATGTACAGAAAGTTAGCAATAAAGTTTTCAGAAAGCTTTCTATAACAAAACTGCTGCTTAAAGCTTTCGATCAAGACACTTTTCTATAAGAAAACAATTCTTTCTATAGAATTAATGTTCCAAAGAAAACTTTCTGTATAAACATCTGTTGTAATAGAGAAATCTGTCTAAAGAGAAAACTATCGTAATAAAAGTTTCTTTTATTGAAGAAATCTGTTATAAAGAAAGCTTTCTAAAAAAAGTTGTTTTGTGGAAAGAATTCTTATGGGAAGAAACTGTTATAAAGATAAATATCTATAAAGAAACTGTTATACAGAAAGCATTTTTTAAAAAGCTTTTTCCAGAGAAAACTATTATACTACAGAGAAAACTGTTATACAAACGAAAAGCTTTTTCTAGAAAATAAATGCTATATCGAAAGCTATCTATAAAGACAACAACTATACTGAAACATTTTTGGAAAGAACAATTATATGGAAAAACTGTTATAAAAAAATTTTGTTACATAAAGCTTTTTACAGAGAAAACTATTATTCATCGAATTGTACAGAGAAAACTGTTATATTTATATGTAAATCTTTCTATAAAAAAAAAACTTTTATACAAAAACTTTCAAAAAATTCTATAGAAAATAAAAACTGTTACAAAGAAAGAAATCTATAGTTATAACTGTTATACGGAAAAAGTTATAAAAAAAACTATTCTACAGAAAGTTGTTATATAGAAAGCTTTCTATAATTTTTTTTTTAATAGAAAGAGCTTTTAAAGGAAAAACTTTTTTGTAGAGGAAACCGTTATAAAAAATATGTCTTTAAGGAAATGTTAGTCGGAAAGCTTTGTAATGTCAAAGACTATATAAAAAGCTGTTATACAAAAGCTTTTTGTAGAAAAAAAATTGTTATACAGAATTTTTTTATAAAAAACTATTATACAGAATGCCATCTATAGATATAACTGTTATACAGTAAGTTTTTTTATAACAAAAGTTATACAGAAAGCTTTGTAATGCAAAAGACTATATATAAAGCTGTTATACAAAAGGTTTTTGTAGAAAAATTTCGTTATACAAAAAGCTTTTTATAGAGAAAACTGTTATATAGATAAATGTCAATAGGGAAACTGTTATATAAACAACTTTTTATAGAAAATAGTTAGTATTATACAGAAAGCTTTTTTATAGAAACAACTGTTATATAGAAAAATGTCTGTAGGGAAACTGTTATACAAAAAGTTTTCTTTAGAAAATAATTATAATACAGAAAGTTTTCTACAGATTAAACTCTTATACAAAGAATTTTCTTTAGAAAAAAATGGTTATACGGAAAGTTTTCTATAGAAAATGACTCTTATAACGATTTTCTAATACCTATTTTTCAGTATAACAGTTATACCGATAATAGTTTTTCCTATAACACAAATAACTATTATACGGAAAGCTTTTTAGGAAAAAATACTGCTATATATACAAATTTCCATATAAAAAACTATTATACGGAAACATTTCTATAGAAAAATCTTGTCATATTGTTATACCTTTTTGTAAGAAAACGTTTTTTTTTTTTTTGAGAAAACAGAAAGCTTTCTATAGAAACATTATAACAATAGAAAGTTTTCCATAGAAAACAATTTCATATTGTTATAGCTTTTTGCAGAAAAAACTGTTATACGGAAAGCTTTTTTTTTGAGAAAACAGAAAGCTTTTTGTAATCTCTTAAAATCCTAAATGTTTAATACGTCTAAAAAGGCTGGAATGTTTTTTAAGAATAAAATTTATTTAAAAAAATAAATACTTTTTGACGTATCGAGTACCAAAAATAGGGACTATTTCGACTGAGAAATCTTAAGCTTTAAATGTAACGCTTTCAGTTTATTCAGCTAACTTTGCAGACAAATGTTTTTGCAATCGTTTTCACTGAAAATCTGATTATTTTTCGTAGTATTTACCACCAGAGCGTATGAAGGTTAAAAAAATACATATCACTCATACGTCTACTGTTATTTCCATAAGCTGATATTATATAGAATACATCGAAGCAAAACTTTATGACAAAAAATGTAACAATTTCTTAAAATTATTTAAAAATATTATTAGAAACATCTTCAAAATCTGAATTTCACACATTTATTTTTGGCAAAACAATATTTGATATTCTAATGTTTCCGGAAAGAAAACAAAAAATACTCTAATATCCGCTCATTGAACAAACACATTAAATAATAATAGATATGTGTGAGTGTATAAGAGAGAGTTTTGTTTACTTAGATTTGTGTGGGAGGAAAAATGAGAAAAAACTATATGTGTTTGTTTGTTTGTGTATTAAAAAGTTGAAAATTGCTGTTGTTGTTGTATTCATACAATGTTTACATTTAATCTTTTGTGTCCGTTGTTCTGTGTTTGTTGTCATGTAACATTCTTTGTTTTTTTTGTTCTTGTTATTTAACTACTATTTACTTTACCATCATGTCATTTCTTTGTTATTTGTCACTCTTGACTTTGTACAGTAGTTTACTGTTTTTGTTGTTGTTTAAATACAAACATACATAAAACATGACTATGCCTGTTCTGCAGTCTCCATATTCATGAGTACAAGTGTTGTTTTTTTTTGTTTGGTTTTGTGTTTATGTAGTTGAGAGGGTGTTTTCTTTTACTTTTTTTTTATTATTATTTACAAGTTGTTCATTTCATATTTTGTTTTTACTGGTTCATTTGTTATTTTTTTACAAGTTCTTTTTTGTAGTAGTTTTGTGCGTGTTTTTCAGTTTTGTTTATTCATTTTATTTTATGTTTTTTTTAGTTTTTTCCTTTTACTAGAAATTTTTACAAATAACAACAAAAACAAAACACCCAAAATAAGAGTGGGTAAGAAGTGGCTGCAGCAGCAAAATAAAAAAGAGCAGCTTTCTGGTATTATTAAGAATTCATTGAATGCTACAGGTTGTTGGTTTTAATTGGAGAGTGTAAAACTGTTTACATTTGGAGAAAAAAAGGAAATATGTAAAATAGCACAGTGGGTTGTTAGGTAGGAAATGTGGTGAATATTAAATAATAATTGTTTTGTACTTATTTAAACAAATAGCCCCTAGACAGTCTTCAAAGTTTAGCCTGGACTATAAACTTTTCTATAAGCTAGTCTTTGTTATAGTTTTATATTTATTCTATTAACTAGTCTACGGACTATTCAATGGACCAGCATATAGGCCAGTCAATGAACTAGTCTATGTATTAGTCTTTGAAATAGTTTATGAACTTTTCTGTGGATAAGCCTATAAACTAGTCTGTGGACCTATGTATTAGTCATTAAATTAGTCTGTGGACTATTTATATACTAGTTTATGGTTCAGTCTATGTACTAATTTATTACATGATCTATGTACCAGTCTACGAACTAGACTATCAACTAGTCTTTAGACTAGTCTTTCAACTAATTTATGGATTAATCTAGTCTATGGGCTAGGCAATAAAAAAGTATATGGACTAATATATTAAATAGTTAATGGACTAGTCTATGGACTAGACCACCAGTTACTCCATGGACTAGTCTATCAACTGGCCTATGAAATAGTCTAGTGACAATATCATTAACTAGTTTTTGGACTAGTCTATCAACTGGATTATTAACTACTCCAGCAATTAGTCTACGGTCTAGTCCAGCAACTTGTCTATGGACTAGTCCAGCAACTTGTTTATGGACTAGTTTATGGACTAGTTAATCAACTGTTAGATGGACTAGTACGTCAACTTGTGGACTATGGACTAGTCTATGGACCAAATCTACCGAATAGTGCATGGACTAGTCCATCAACTAGTCTATAAACAGGCCTATGAACTAGGCTAGGAACTAGTCTATGGACCAATCAATCAACTAGTCTATGGACTAGTCAATCAACAAGTCTATGAACTAGTCTTTCTAGTAGTCTATGGACTAATCTATCGAATAGTCTATGGACTAGTGTATCAACTTGTCTATGGACTAGTCTATCAAACAGACTATCTTCTAGTCTATGGACTAGTTCATCAATTACTCTATGGCCTAGTTTATCAAGTGGTCTACGAACTAGTCTATCAACTAGTCTATGGAATATTCCATCAACTAGTCTATAAACAGGCCTATGAACTAGTCTATGGACCAGTCAATCAACTAGTCTATGAACTAGTCTTTTTGATAGTCTATGGACTAATCAATGAAATAGTCTATGGGCTAGTGTATCAACTTATCTATGGACTAGTCTATCAAACAGACTATCAACTAGTCTATGGACTAGTTCATCAATTATTCTATGGCCTAGTTTATCAACTGGTCTACGAATTAGTCCATCAACAAGTCTATGGGCTAGTCTATCAAATAGTTTATAGACCAGTCTATCAACTAGTCTCTGGACTAGTCTAAATCTATCAGCCTATCAACTATTCTCTGGACTGGTCTATCGTATATTCCATCTACTGTTCTTTCAAATAGTCCATGTAAAATTGTTTCAAATAGTCAATGGACTGACTATCCAATTGTTTCTGGACTAGTCCATCAACTATTCTATCAACTAGTCTATATATTATTCTATCAAATAGTATACGAACTAGTGTATCAACTAGTCTTTGGATTAGAATATTAACTGTCCTATGAACTAGTCTTGTAACTATTATATGAATTAGTCCATCAACTAGTTAATGGACTAGTCTATCACCTAGTCTCTGGACTGGTCTATCATATAGTCTTTCAAATAGTCCAGGGAATAGTCTATCAACTAGTCTATAGAATAGTTTATCTTTTATATAGACTAGAATAGTCTATCAACTAAATAGTCTTTGGACTAATCTATGGAATAGTCTACGGACTAGTGTATAAACTAGTCTATGGACTAGTCTATCATCTAGTCTATGCAACAGACTAGTCTATCAACTGGACTATGAACAAGTTTATGGACTTTTTCACCACCTAATCAATGGACTAGCCTAGTCTGTGAACCTTGTCTATCAAGTAGTCTATGGACTAGTTTATCAACTACAACTAGTCTATTAACTAGTCTCTCATATAGTATATGGACTAGTCTATTAAATAGTCCATGGAATAGTCCAAATCGACTAGTTTATCAACTACTTTCTGGACTAGTCCATCAACTATTCTATCTACTACTCTATGGACCAGACTAGTCTGAAGGGGATAAAAGTTTTATAGTTCTTAATATTCTATAGCTGAAATGCAATTCGAAAGTTTATAGTAAGACCATTGTGCGTATATTCTGTCTGTCTGCCCATCTATCTGTCTGTCTATCTGTCTGTCTGTCTGTCTGTCTGTCTGTCTGTCTGTCTGCCTCTCTGTCTGTCTGTCTATTGATGCACAGTGGTATAGAAATAAAAAATAGGGAAACAGTTCTGCAATTGCTGCACGACTGGCTGGCTATTTGAAATTTCATATGCGTTTTATATATTTTAAAAAAGTTTATAAAATTTCCTATCCATTGATATATAATACATCAACTTTGCCATTTTCACATATAAAATGAAGGAAAGCTTTAACAGGGACAGCGAAGTACACTGCATTTAACTAGTGTTCTTTATAATTCACTGTTGAGTGTTAAAAATTCGTTTCTAGTTTACTACAATATTCCTCCTCATTTTGCTCTAGCTTACACTTATTTTAGGTTTTTGTTTCTGTTTGTGATTTTTTGAAATTTTTGTATTTTTTCTTGTTATTAAAAGTAGATTTTAGGTTGTTTTCCTTCCGTTTTTTGTGGGGTTTTGTTTTACACATTTTTTTTTTAGTAAAGTCCTTTACGCTTTTGTTTTAATTTTTTTTTTTGGTTTTGTTCCTGTTGTTCATATTCATGTTAATGGCAGCTTTAGGGCTCATTGTCAAAAAAAAAAAAAAAAAAATATATACTAAAGGTATAAATAAATATATACTAGTTATATATGGCTACATACGTACATACATACACAAGTTATCAAGGCCGTCATTTAGTCTTAGTCTCAATCAACAGCTGTAATTTTAACTTTACTAAATTTTTAGGTTACTCCTGGTTGCTCCAATTTTTCAACATCTATTGTGTGTGGGTGTGTGTTTAGTAGCTTGTTTATTTTATAAAATTAATTTTATTAAATCTCTATTTTTGGGCTTTTGTCTGACATTGTTAGATGTTGTTTGATGAATATTGTGGCTGTTGTTCGTCCTGCTCGTCCTGTTGCTGCTGCTTCAGCTGTAGTATTGTACTTGTAGCAATTTGTGGTTATTTATAAATTATCATTTGTTATGGAATTTGTTGCAAATGAGGCAAAGGATATTGTTGTGGCTGTGGTAGCAAAATTTGCTGTTGGTTGTAATGTTGCTGTTGCGGTTGTAATTGTTGTTGTTGCTGCTGTTGATGAGCCCCACCAGCTGCGACTGCTGCCGCCGCTAATGTTGAGGTAGTGGCTGCCAGTAGTGATGATGCAGTCTCTGTGAAATTTTTACCAAAACGTGCTCTATCCATGGTCTCCTTCATTAAACGTTCATTTTCCTGACGAACTAAAGTTTGTTTAGATTGATAGGGGGTGGAAGGAAGAACAAATGTTTGCATATTAATACAAAAATGTTTATAAAAGGTTATTAATAATAATAAAATAAAGATAAAAGTAAATTAGAAAAGTTATTATAAAGGTTTTTTTTTCTTTTCTTCTTTATTTTTTTTTTAAATGGAACATTTTATTTTTATGAATTTGGTTTTGGTTTTAGTTTGTTTTTGAACTTGTTTTTTCTTTGATTTATTTTTTCTAAAAACTGTTGATGCTTTTGGTTAGAAACTGTAGTCAAAGTAAAGGCCTGTTGATGAATGTTTAAAATGTTCATCAATCCAGACTATTTACTTTAAATACAATTTACCATTAGTATAATATTATTTATTTATATTTGATTTTAACACTTACAATGGCTGTAAATTTTGTGTAAAAAATTATTTCACACACACCGGTTTTTCTAACTAAAAAATATTTTTTTCCTGAAAAAAAAAAAACACCTTAAAGTAGGCTTTATATGTTGTTTTATTTAACACCCCTTAATGTAGGCTTTGGTTTTTGATTTATAACTGCATACATATATAAATATTAAGTTGTGTGAGTATATAAAATAAATTCGTTTGGTTTCTATATTTCGTTTTAAGTTCTTTGTTATACAAGGACACCATTTAAATAATGTTTTCCTTTCTTTGCCAATCCAAAAAGTATGCTTTAAATTATTAAGTAAAGTTAGTCTATTGATTATTCTATGTATTAGTCTATTGACTTGTGTATGGGCTAATCTGTTGACTAGTCTTTGGATTAGACTTTGGTCTAGTCTATTGACTAGTCTATTAACTTGTCTTTGGACTAGTCTATTGACTGGCCTTTGCACTAGTCTATTGACTAGTAGTTTGACTAGAGGGGGACTAGTCCTTTGACTAGACTTTGGGCTAGTGTATTCCCTAGTCTTTGGAATAGTTTATTGACTAGTTTTTGATTTAGTCTATTGACTAGTCTTTGGTCTATTGTATAGGCTTTGGTTTAGTGTAGTGAATAGTCTTTTGACTAGTCTATGCTATAGTCTATTGACTTGTCTATTGGTTATTCTATGCAATAGTCTATTGACTTGTGAATGAGTTAGTATGTTGAATGGTCTATGGATTAGTCTATTGATTAGTCTGCGTACTAATCAATTTACTATCCTTTCGACTAGTCTATTGATTAGTATTTAGACTAGTCTATTAGCTAGTCTTTGGACTAGTCGATTGGCTAGTCTTTGGACTAGTATATTGAATAGTCTTTGGTCTAGTCTATTGACTAGTCTTTGGACTAGCTTATTGACTTATCCTTAGTCTAGTCTATTGATTAGTATTTGGACTAGTCTATTAGCTAGCCTTTGGACTAGTCGATTGGTTAGTCTTTAGACTAGTATATTGAATAGTCTTTAGACTAGTATATTGAATAGTCTTTAGACTAGTATATTGAATAGTCTTTGGTCTAGTCTATTGACTAGTCTTTGGACTAGCTTATTGACTTTTCTTTGGTCTAGTCTATTGACTGGTCTTTGGACTAGTCTATTGACTGGTCTCTGGACTAGTCTATTGACTGGTTTTTGGACTAGTCTATTGACTAGTCTTTGGACTAGTCTATTGACTAGTCTTTGGACTAGTCTATTGACAAGTCTTTGGTCTAGTCTATTGACTAGTCTTTAGTCTGTTCTATTGACTAGTCTTTCGACCAGTCTATTGACTAGTCTTTCGACCAGTCTATTGACTAATCTATTGGCTAGTCTTTGGTCTAGTTCAATGACTAGTCTTTTGTCTAGTCTATTGAATAGTTTTTAGATTAGTCTTTATGTACTAGTCAATTGATTATTCTATGACATGTGAGCTGTCTGCTGACTAGTCTATGGATTGGTCTATTGTTTAGTCTACGTACTAATCAATTGACTAGTTTTTCGACAAGTTTATTGATTAGTTTTTCGACAAGTCTATTAATTAGTATTTGAACTAGTGTATTGACTAGTCTATGGACTCGTCTTTGGACTAGTCTATAGACTACTCTATTGACTGGTCTTTAAACTAGCCTACCGACTACAATTTAGACTTATTAGTACCAAAAAAGGTACTAATATTGCCAACTACTTTATAATTGCTTACAAATTGCCAACTTTATAAAAGCAAAAAGCAAACAAAAACCCATTATAACAATTAAAACAATTAAGGTTTTTTAAATTTGTTTTTTCTGAAAAAAAAAAAACTGCACAAAACACAGTGGAAATATGTGTAATATAAGTTTCATAACCAATTAAGAAAAAAATTTTTTAGTGTTTAGACTCGTTCAAAAAGCAAAAAAAGAAAGTAAAATATGTACACAAAACACTAAAAGGGAAAAGTTTTATATTGTTCAGTTTTTTTTTTTTTTCAAATAAAATTTAAGAGGTTCCCTTAAGATATTTAGTATAATTATGCCTTAAAGTAACAATTTATATTTTAGAGTTAACCCTAAACTAATAAAACAGAAAATTTTGACTAAAAACTGTTAAAAAAAACTCTGTACTCAGTAGTAAAAGTAAAAGATTTTAGTCAAATAATAAAAAAAAAACTTTTTTCCACCTAATCGTTTAACTTGTGTTGATTTAAAACAAGTTTTTATTAACTGTTGAGCTTTTGTTATTTTTTAAATTTGGATTTTTTTTTACACAGAAATTCTATTTAGTATGATTTTCCAAAGTTTATTCTATTTGCAAATGAATACAAGGAACTAAAAGAAACACTTCACACGTTACCATACAAACTAAAAAATCAATGATGCTTTTGTTTTTTCCCCATAAATACTTGAAAATCTTTTTCCATCCCACACACTTTTGCTCCATTTAATTTGTTTAAATAATTGGAAAAATGTCAACAACTGTTAATAGTTTTCCAATGAAAACAATAAATCGAACAAAAGCTTAAAATAAAAGAAAATTATACAAATTCTATTGCAAACACTTCAATAGAATTTTAAACAAAATAAACTAGAATTTAAAGGAAGAAATAGACTAAAATGAAAAAGTACTAAGTTTTTCAGAAAAGAGTACGACCATGTCTATAGACTAGTCTGTTAACTAGTCTATTAACTAGTCTATGAACTAGTCTATGAACTAGTCTACGAACTAGTCTATGAAGAAGTCTGTGAACTAGTCTATGAACTAGTTTGTAAACTAGTCTATGACAATAGAATAGTCTATTGACTAGTCTCTGGACCAGTCTTTTGACTAGTCTATGAACTGGTCTATTGACTAGTCTATATACTAGTCTATGGACTAATCTACGGACTAGTCTATGCATTGATCTATTGACTAATCTCTGGATTAGTCTAATGACTAGTCTATTGACTATATAGTTTATAAACTGGTTTATTAACTAATCTATGTATTAGTCTGTTGAATAGTGTCTGAACTAGTCTATTAACTAGTCTCTGGACTAGTCTATTGCCTAGTCTCTAGAATGGTCTATGGACTAGTCTATGAACTAGTCCATTAACTAGTCTATTGACTAGTGTCTGGATAAGTCTATGAACTAGTCCATTAACTAGTCTATTGACTACTAGTCTATTGACTATTGAATAGTCTCTATAATAGTCTATTGAGTAGCCTCCGGACTAGTCTATTGCCTAGTTGATGAACTGGTCTATGGACTAGTCTATGAACTGGTCTATGGAATAGTCTATGTACTAGTCTATGGATTAGTCTCCGGACTAGTCCATGGACTAGTGTATGGCCTAGACTATGGACTAGTCTACGAGCTGGTCTATGGAATAGTCTATGGACTAGTCCATTAACTAGTCTATTGACTAGACTCTATAATAGTCTATTGAGTAGTCAATAGACTAATCTATGAACTGGTCTATGGACTAGTATATGGACTAGTCTATGAACTGGTCTATGGAATAGTTTATGTATTAGTCTATGGACTAGTCTATGTATTGGTCTATTGACTAGTCTTTACAATAGTCTATGGACTAGTTTATGAACAAGTCTATTAACTTGTCTATGAACTAGTCTATGTATCAGTCTATTGACTAGCCTTTGGACTATATACTAGTTCATAAATGAACTCTTCTATTAACTAGTCTATTGACCAGTCTCTGGACTACGTAGTCTATTGATTAGTCTATGTACTAGACTATCGACAAGTATATGGATTAGTCTATGGACTATTCTATGTACTAATCTGTGGACTAGTCTATTGAGTCTTGGACTAGTCAATTGACTAATCTATGAAGTAGTCTATGTAGAAGTTTATGAACTAGTATATTGACTACTCTCTGGACAAATCTATTGATTCGTCTGTAGACTAGTCTATTGACTAGTGTATGGTCTAGTCTAAGGAATCTTCTATGGACTCAGTCTCTTGTTTAGCCTATGGACTAGTCTATTAACAAGTCTAGGGACTAGTCTATTTAATAGACAGTTAAAAATTAAAAAAAGTAAAGCATACTTTCAGGTTGCGGAAATATATTGTATACATGTGTATGTATATGTGCAATATACACTTTTCAAATTCAGTATCATCCCATTAAAACCTCATTCTTTTAGCGTCCTCTCTTTGAAGATATTTCAATTTGTTTGAAAATGTAGTTAAAAAAAAAGACACACCAAGCTTTTAAAAGGTTTCCATTTAAGTGAAGGAAAACCAAGAAACCAATGGACTAAAAGTTGACAGTAACAAAAAATAAAAAATAAAGCCTTGACGAAGTAAAGCAAATAAGTAATAAAAAAAATCCGTGGACAAAACTTATTTACCATTTAAAAAAGAAACCTTAAAAAATCACAACAAAATGGATATTAAATAAAAATGTTTACTTATTTTGGATTTAAAATATAAAATCTTTCTTTTTTTTCAAATTAAAGGCCACTTTAAAATGTTAAAAATAAAAAAGAAATATTTCATTTTTTTTTCAAAAATAAACCATTTATTTTCTTTTGTACAATTTTTCATTTCAGTTTGCTCATGATGTTGACTCTATGGATTTTACACTTGAAAA